CGCTAGCAGCATTCTCTGTAAGCTGTATTAATCCAAGAGAGAGAGAGATAAGGCAGTGAAATTAAAATTAGAAGCATGACATCGTTATCCCCCGAATGGCAAAGCATGAATGGTATCACGTGTGTTACATTATATGTGCTGTGCTGTTCATGCATATAAGCAATGGGTAGCACTCACCAATATCCAATAGTTTGAGAGAGAAATGAGCCGTCAACTTACATTATTTTGCTAATTTATAAACGCGAAAGTTTTTGTTTGAGATTGGATGACTGTTTGTTACTCTTTCATCAAAAACTACTGAAAATGTTTTAATAAAACTTTACAATAAGCTTATACATCAGAATAACACATGGGTTATAAAAGTGCACGCGGGTGAAACCGCGGGCTCTGATATATAGTATGTTCACAATGATTAACACAATAGCGATTGTAAAGTTTTTGTATCTAGTGCTTGATATAGTAACCAATTTAGTTGTTACAATTAAACAGTATCAATTTTCGATCTATAGACGAATGATAACTTCTACATTATTTCAACAAATCAGAATATAAAATTGCATACATTCAGAATAGTACAACCGGGGATTTTCTGTTCAGTACCACTTCCAAATATCGTTGGATTTTGCATCGATAGCGATTTCGTCTTTACGCTCTTGTATTTTGATTAAGTGGGCTCCTGAACTGTAAGTTCAGAAGAGCAAGCAGTTTTCTCCCATACAATATGCTGAGGTGGAATAAGTTATTTGTTGAAATTTTCCTACGAGACTACAGCTGTATCACGTAGTCCATAGGCTATGACAATCATTTATGATCAGAAGGTACCAACATAAACTTCGCATCAAAGTTATTTGCAATAAGGAACTTGCTTAGTGTATTATGTTATAGTTTGAAATGTCAGATCATTAGATAATCTTCATTTTAAAAAAATTGCGTGTTATAATTCAATACAGACATTTTTAAAGTACAGTGTTTTAAAATATCCTAAATGCAGGTGCCATATCTGTCATCTTACTGCAGATGGGAATGTATTCGTATGCAGTAATGCACTCATATTTGCCAAACTTATTCCGGTAGCGTTCTATATTTTTGCAGAGTGCTGGGTTGATAGTAATTTCATGTGGCTATATAGGTATGTTACTATGGGTATTCAAATATATATCTAATATAAGACTAAAAGTAAAAGACCATGAGTTAAAATTTGACTGACATCAAAAAATATTGTATGTATTTATATTGCGAACTGACTCATTGATGATGACCAACAAACCAAATTAATCCGAGAGACGGCGGTAGGCTCAACCCTGTCGCGTAGGATTTAAACATACCGAGTGAAATGTGAACAAATCATCACAACGTAGATATTTGACCAATGTCTTTCACTTGACAAATGGATAATATCTGTGTTAGCAACCAATTGCTATCTCAGATATTATCCACTACCGAAGTAGTTATATTTATTTATATTTATATAAGAGGTATTTTAATAGCATATGGCAGTATAATCTGTATTTATATTTTTAGTAATGTCTAAATGTCAAACCCACAGAAGTATAATTTACTTAAAATTAAATTACTTAAAACAAAATATATTTCTACAGATTTTAAGTTCTTATTGTTTTTCATTTTATATTCAAAGGGAATATTCCCCTATTGTGTTGTCAAATCATAAAAATATTTGGCGGAATTCCGTTTTTATATAGGCGGAATCAAGGTCGTTTATTTAAGCGAGCGCGCAATTTTGTGCATTGATAAACAAATTAGCATATAAATTATCTTTGCCTTTATTATTTGCATTACAAAGAGTCATAGGAAAATGTGCCATGCCATACATGGGTTAGACAGCACAATAAATAAGGGTTACAGAGGGTCAGAACGCGGTCTTGATGCATTCACTGCGGAAAACTCCGTAATTAACTAGGGTTGCTCATTTACATAGATTTTCTTTTTAGCTAATCTTTGCAATGTATACATTGAGTCGCTTCTAAATAGAAAACTGGCTGTTGCCTGCTACTTTGTTTTTTTTTAGATAAATGATAGTGTGTATCTTTGTGATACAATATATTTTCATATCACAAATTTCAATTCAATTTAATTTCAATTACTTCAAATTAATAATGCATATGTTTGTCTGTTTTGACAAACATTTGCATTATTAATGCGACGTACTTATTTGATATGGGTTATATTTGTACATATATCAAAGTCATAATTTATAATTAATATATTTTGGTTGTTAATTTGATATTCATGTTGTACTTATTAAGAATAGTAGTGATAGAATCATGACTCATTTTAATACAGAAAATAAAAAATAAATATATATATGGGTTTTACTCTTGAAATTCATTCTGTATGGTGCCTTCTCTTTGTAAGGGCTAGTTAATTCTTGGTTACATAATATTAATCGGAAAATATTATTATAGATAAATTGTTAATTTTCTACTGACTGACTATCAAAGGGTTCAACTGCATTTATTTTATGTTTGTTTTACGTAAAGTCTTCGCTAAAAGACTCGTTTATGTAATTATTTTTGCAATCTCTCATCTCTTGGGTTCGTTTTTTTCTTAGCATATACACATATATACGTTACGTACTCAAACCTATAGGTATATAATTTTATTTCATGAAATATTGTACTTGTTGAAATGTTAATAAAATTATTTAAACATATCGACACCCATGCATTGAGGCCGACATTATAAGTATATACGGCGGAACGACAAATTCTTATTATTTTCATATGTTTTACTATTTATCAATAACTTCGAATACCAATAGTTCTTTTCACCTGAACTTCTTTCAGCGCATATTTTTATTGTCAACATGCTATTTTTATAGCTGTTTAGGGTGGCCCCTACCAATGTTCGCTTTTTTAATTACCATACGATGTTATCGTATTACAATCCACAGTTATAAATGTCACTATTGAAAGTGTTTGCATGCAACTAAATTTTGTTTGTTATTGTATTGGAAATATAATGCAATACAATTTTTTATTTTGGAAATCTTCGAATGCTTCGCCGCATCTGCTTTTTACATCTTTACTAGATAAAAATGAAACCGAATACATATAACATTCCGAACCCACACGGCCGTAAACTGACCGAATTATGGAAGGAAGGAATATGAAAGGAAGGATATAATTATAACTAGGAGAAGGTTGCTACGTTTACCTCCAGGTGCATCATCAGCTGGTTTCCTATTCCAGTTATTTAAAAAAAATGAAATTACCTATCTAAGAATAATAAAAAGACATGTATTTATATAAATGTTTCATTTATTGATATTATTAATATATACAATTATTATTACGGAGCAGTAAGTAATGTACCTACTTAAATTACATTGTAATAAAGTTACCGGCAATATTTACACAACATTCCCTAAAACTAAATAACGCTTACAACAACTCAATTTAGCGGTTCCATGTTATAGAAATATGTACTATATATATAGCTTGAAATATATCATACAAAAAAGCGCTAAGGTAAGAATATTTATTACCTTTTATTTTGTAGAACAAATAAAAAAAAATAAGAAAATTGTCTATTGAAATTATTACTATTGTTTTAGTTATAAAAATATATAGAGAAAATCACAAGCAGCAAAATTATACAATTTATATAGGTATTTTTGGTATTGTTTTATGTCAAATTTGTATTAATAATATTTTGCCTTCATGACACACTGGAATGGTACAATTTTTTTTAAATATTTTATATTTCGCAATAAGAATGAAGCTTGGTTAAAATAGTGTAAAAAAGAACTTACTTTCTACGTATTCTTAGTCTTCAATTTGTTTTATTAGTAGTTATTATTTATTTTTATATACAATGCGACGTTATATTATACATTCTTTGATATGCTTTTGGTGTGATTTAATTGAACGGTACATATTTAATTAAAGATTCAAGTAAGAAACATAAATCTTAAACAAAGGTTTAACTTGAAGCAGTAAGAATATATAAATATCTATATGGAAACCATTTGATAATTGAAAAATAACTCTAGAAAAGCATGAAAATATGCCTCAAGGTGTTATCAACATATGTGTTGTCAATATATATATTTGTGTATTTCTGTATTAAAGTTTTAATAAGTAAATAAAATATTTCTATGGATTGTATTTATATTTGTTATATTTGTGATATATCTTAAACTGTAAATTGTAATGAATAACCAAATAAGTATTTAAAATTGCAACATCATTATATACAGATTTTTTAAATGATATTACATAATTAAAATATATTGTTTTTTTTTAAATATTATAGATTATAAAATTAAAAGTATATAGTTAATTTTTATAAATCAAATATTTATTGTAATTTTCTAAAAGGGAGGTGTTTATACACACCCACGTAAAAGTAAATATTATTTTGGCAAGTTAAAAAAATAGTACCCACCTAATTCTTGTACCTCCCTAAATAAATCACCAGTAAAATATTACCCGTAGAACATTAAACACGGGCGGCACGATTATAGGATTTCTCCCTGCCGAAGGTAAGTAAAGGTTACAGGTACACTTTTACAGAAATTCACGCTAATAAAGAATTGATGAATTCCAGCTAATTTTATTACGTACGATCTTTAATCAACATTTTAGAAAATTTCGAATATGGAACTGCTAGCGTGTATGATACATTGATTGATCTTAATAATTATTTAAAGATAAAATTAAATATTTATTAGAGAATTTTGTCGCTATCTGTTAAATTAAATAAATATGTATAAAGAAGCACTTCAATAACCATAATAGGTTAAATAATCGATTGATATAAAATATCAACTAAAACTCACTAAAGGTTTTAGTTTTAATCATTTATGTCTGATTAGATGTCTTCAATAGCTGCTGGCGGTGGTTGAAATTTCAATAAACAATATCCAAGAACTACACTCATTAAAAATTGGCATTACACAGTTTGTTATTTTATCTATGAAGTGGAAATTTATACTTTATATTATGCAGAATGATCAGCATTCTACCATCTACATATACCACCCCACAAATAGTTACAATGGTTGTAGATACATCGTGTGGCTTTTATTGTTTAAACCCAACGTGGCAAATGAACCAGCTTCCCTCACGATTGGATAAAATCTTAGTATATTTTGCACCCTAACATAAACGGGCTGCTGATAATGGTGTAGTTAGTTAGACGTCAGGTTTCCCGAATGAGACTAATGTTACCATGGACTCCGATTTGATTATTGCTGCTTTATATATGTCTAATTTAAGAGTCAAAATGTAATAAAAAACATTACATTTTATGATACGTCTTAATAGGAGGAGGAGCATTATTCAAACAAATCGAACATTGGTTAATCAGTTCTTGTGTTCAAAACACAATACATAACTATAATCTAAATACTAAGATTAAAAATTAATGTAACTTTAAAGAGATTATTATAGTTTTAGAATGTAACTAAACAAAAACCACTCCTGTCCAAATCTAATTATTGTGTATTATTATTTATATTATTTTTTTTATATCAAAATATTTTAGAATGTAATCCTGAGTACTTTTTAAGTGTATTTTCTACTATGCTGATTTGCTTATATTTTATTATTACAATAATTTTATATTATGTTTTTACATATTGTTTATTTAAGCTTCTTCAAATATCACTTAGTAGTTTTTTCTTCAATTTATATTTATTGCCAAAGATCTTAAAGGAATATTTTTGTCAAAGAACTATTTATATCGTAAATAATATATTTTGCTTAAAATATGAAGTCTTATAATTTCATGTTAGTGTTCATAGGGTTATATTTTGTATTGATACCTTTGGAAACGTCGATGTTGTTATACTATCACAATGTTCAAACTTAAAATAGATACATACTTTACTACATTTAACGTCCTTATAATGCTGAATTCTGTTATATGTTAATAAACAAAATTGAAGGTATCAATATTTCAACATTCGTTATTTTGAATAGTTACATTACCTGCCAATAAGTAACTATTGGCAAAATTGCAAGTTGAGGAAATAATAAACTCAATTCCCCAGTGAAATTTTCACAATTATGACTCGGTTCAACTTTGAAGTTGAACGTGAAAACTAAAATGCATTTTGGCGAAAATAGTTGACTACAGACATCAGCATTATAATGACTAAGTACAAATAGATTTATTTAAATTACCTTTATACACATTTTTTCATTTACATACCTTAAATAGACGGCAATAATAGTATTCGATGGAAACAAATTGTCATAATGCACAAAACCTACAGTTTGTTAAAGACAACTTATCATCTCCTACCCTGTGCTAACAATTCGGTAATATTTATATTTTGATTAATTATTGTGAGTAAATCGATAAAACTAGAGAATAATATTCTTTTAATTATAAATGGCAACACTGAAATAGCGCTAAGAGTACAGAGCGGCCATGCTTGGTGTCCGTTGGAAGCTGTAGATTCAGCAGTTGGTAGCCAGTGGTTATCGAGTACAGACTGCTCTATGACGTTTTGCATTGTGTCTAAACAAGAAAAAAATAATTAATACTAAATAAATACACATGCCTGAAGCAAGATGTGTGAGGACAAATTCAAATACACATGTTGGGGGAAAGGGAACTGATGAATGATGTCAAGTTGATCTTCAAGCGATTCCCCTGGAAAGTATTTAGGTTAATTCCTGGTATAAAATGACCTGATGTCAAGCTTATCTTATCCTTCTTCAATAGTACTCCACCTGCGTATTGTTAACAGAGGGGGAATGCCATTCCATAATCATCGATTAAATAAATGAACTCGAATATTAACTTCTACTCTACTAAGTTCCTAAACCTTATCTGGTTTGAATATATAGATATAGATAAGATAGATATATCTAAAAATATATAGTTGGTAATGAAGAAAAATAGAATGTAGAGTAATGTAAAATTAGATGAACTTATTAATAAAAGAATTATAGAATATTAAAAATAATAAAACATTAAATAAACTATCTGTTACATACGAGTAATATGTAAAATTGAAATCAACCGCCAAAACCTTTACTATTGCACAATTAATATTTCAAAATGATCCTCCAAAGCTGCGATGAAACGCGCCCAACAGCGTTTAACGTGCTTCGTGATATATTCAGCATTGTTTATTGTTGATTCCCGGTTTGAATAATAACTACTACTATTTCTGATGCCTGATATTTGTGCTGATATAAATTTAGTACACCAGTGTCGAACAACACCGTAGTGCCTCCATAAAATGGTTATAGCATTCGAGTTATCGTAAATGTAAGAGCTTTAATAACATTGAATGAAAGATAACATTAGAGAGATAAAATGTAAAGAGAAGTTAGATATTCTTATCGTCGTCTATGCATTATTAACTTTACTCTGTACACTTAATCTGCCGGTTATACAATTCTTGGGATGCATAAAATGTATGTTACATATTCTTGGCTGTCTTCGTTATATAATTTTCTTGAACTAGTTAATAGTCTTAGTAGAATCTTATAAGTAAATATACTTGATACGGGGTTATTGAGAATTAGATGATAATATTTGTACATATATAATATTTAGACGTACCATATGTCGTTACATCCGGTGTATAAAATTTCTGCTCTGCAGGTTGCAATGGCACCACGAACCCTATAAAATAATTTATTATTATATACTATAATATATACATAAACAGACAAAGACTTCTTAGTAACCAGAGAGAAACTGTAAAAAGTCGTCACCTGAATTAGTACAATCTCAACAACCGAAGAGCAGTTTTCTTTGAAAGCTCTGTTTCATTGAGGGTGTAGATTAGGCAGTCAAATTAAAGACTAGAGGCATGACATATTAATCCTCTGGAACAGCAAAACACGAGTGATATCACGGGTATCACACATCATGTCTGCATTTCTGGTTATATATGTACCTACCTATATATAGGCGACATTTACTGCTTCATCAGATAGGGCGTCAGAAATTTTGGCATTCTAATTTCATTTAAAAAAATTACACAACCGAGTACTTAAAAGGTCGGAACTTATAGAAATGACTAGATAAATAGTTATTTCTCTTAATTATACGAAACAATATAAGTCCGGAAAATTTGTATTGAATGAGTACTTTAGTCTTAATAAGATGCTATATATATAGCAGTATTCACATATATGTATCTGTAATTTTAACTGATATGTCTCCCTCACACTCAGGTTTAATTCGCCTACGGCACTTAAGGGAAGCTATTTTATTAAATATTGTAACATTTGAAATCAATACAGGATCGCAATAAATATATTACTAAATATATGATTCCTAAACGTCGTATATTAAATTCTTGTAGCTTTGATACATAATATAAATTAATACATCTCTAGGCACACGATCTTATATGGGCGCTGCAAACTCTCAAAAGATAAGTGTTTATGTATGTATGTAAAATAGCAAATAATGGTTTTTTGGTAGTGTATGCTTTGTATTTTAAGTATTATTATAAAAATCTTCGTCAGCCTAATTTTTGCAAGAACTTTTATCTCTACATATAATTATTTTTATTTATTTAAATAACTTTAATGCACGTTATACACAGGTAAAAAGTACATATGGCGGACTTAACACCAATATTTTCCACAAACACAAGAGACAAGTTGTTGGCGGTGCAAACAATATTATAATAATTTTACAAAACGTACACAAATAAAAATATAAATATATACATAAATGTCCCTACAAAATTATATATATCGATACTCACGTGGTGGGGGAGTATACTCCGTGGTGGTCGGCGGTGGGGTCGTCGTTGTGGTGGTTGTAGTTGTCGTGGTCGTTGTGGTAGTAGTTGTCGTAGTCGTCGTTGTTATTTTAATTTCTGTCACATATTAATTTACTTCATTATACATTTATTTAATTTTTTTTTTCTGTGCGAAACTGTTGTCACATAAACGATCTCGGTGGTTTAGCATTTATTAGTACACCGCCTTAATACCAGTGATCGCTGGTTCAAACATTTGTTTTCATGAGTATGACTGTTTGTAGAGTAAAGCCTCTTTAAATGACTTAAAATAGCTAGGTATATACATACAGTATGAATTTATAAAAGAGTTACTTTGAATAAAGAAGAAGAATCTTCCTAAAGTAATTCTTCAATATAACTTATGAAGTACAGTAAAACTTGAATGGTGGTGCATTTAAAAGTACAGCCATCAATTGTTCAAAATCAGAATTAAACACTGTTTGTTTTTAAAAATGTTATAGTGTTTTTACAGAAACCAAATTATATATTCTGGTAGAACCAAATCGTTCATAGACCTTCAATTTAAATATACATACCTAGAATATACAATATTAAGCTTACCATAGAGTCTAATAGTTCCTTCGGCTTTACCCATAGTATTTGTTGAAATACATGTATAAGTTCCAACGTCATTGCTTCGAAAATCTGATATAGTTAATATTAGTCGAATTTGATACGCGGACGTCCGTATCTCAGATATCTCATGCATTTCACTGAAACAATGATAAATACATCAATTCACGGTATTATATATGCGAAAATCTGTCTGTCTTAAAATTAAATGGCCTAATGCATCTTAATAAAATTTGTCCTGAAGATTTTAATACGAGAACGGACATTGTCCATCCATGGTTATCTCAAACAAATAAGGATTTAAATATTTGAGAAGTAAGGAGAATATTTTTATAAACTGCAAACAAAGACATGTGTAATATTTTGTTTATCATAATTTGAAGTGGGTAAGGAAATTTGTCTTCTTGATCTCCTTTCAGAGACAAACATATCACTAAACAAAAATTGTTTACTATGACATATATACATATATATATATAATATGAATTTTATTATAGTTGATATGAAGAAAGAATAGGCACTAGAAGCCAAATTAAATTAAACTGATACTTTCTTTAAGTAACAGCCTGATGACTGTCCTGATGATAAGAGGTATCTGTCGCTTGTATAAGAAGACATCACGACATCGCATCAGTGACACCAGTACTTCTCATACCATACCATATTTCATACCATCTCATACCAGTACTTGCCATTGTGGAGGGCTAAGATTATTGCCTCTGTACTTTATAATTTAACTACCATATCTCACTCTCTGACCAAAACACAACTTACAAACAATATACTGCTGAAATAGTTGAAACGACAGACGACCTGGTACAAAGTGTACCTCATATAGAGAACAGTTTGTGGTTACCTACCTGGACTTAGATAATTCTGTAATATAATACGAAACAGTGTTATTGTCGAATATAAGAAATGTAATTATTTAAATGTAATGACATATTGTAAATTAAATAATGTAAATTTAATATTGTAATGGGTGAAAACTGTGATCGGTACAGCCTATGCTGTAAATAATATAATTGACGTAGTGGAGTAACCTGAAACAGTCATGCTCGCTATAAAGTTCAAACTTGTGGCGGCGTGGTGGGCCGGGTCGATGTGCTCCCTCAAATATGGTTGAGTACAATGATGGCTGGCTCATACGTCATACTCGTGAACGGGTGCTGCTTGTGGGGACTGGTCTGTTCAGGTTGTGAACACTGATTAAATTTTTTGTTCTTTGCGATAGCATATGCTGGTGGTCACTCTATTCTCCCAAATTTGAATTTTAAACTGTATTTACATAAACATGTTCCACTATTATTTGAAAAAAAAATACGAGCTGAGTTTCTTGTCAGTTCTTCTTATCTCGCAATCATTCCGAACTGACGGTAGATTTGACATATCATAAGAGTCTGTAATAGACCTACATGAATAAAGATATTTTGAATTTTGAATTTTTTGAAAAAATATTATAATAAAACAAAAAAAACCGACTTAAATCTTGACAACTTTAATATAAATCCAACAACAAAAAATATCATAAGTCTTAGTTATGATATTGTATATTCACATGACGTAAAGCAATATAGCAATCGGAAATTACAAGAATGAGAAATTGCGAATTTCTTTCATTTTGAAATCTGTAGAAAATCTTTAATAAATAGAAATAAAGCAATACTATTCCCGTGTAATATAAATTGTATTTCCCACGTCGGTTGTACGAGTAGGGTTTGCGGCTAACGACGGGTGTTGTATAAAAATTGTGAAAATCAAATGCATCAGAACTTTATAGGAAACACCGTGTTTACTGCTATAGGATCTCACTTAAATCTCATCCCTTTACTGTGGTGTATGTGATGCCCAAGGTATAATGCTAAACGGCTGTTTTTTTGACGAAATTTCCTTTGTAATTAGTTCATATTTAACGTAATTATTTTTCTTCTTTGAAATACATGTTTACTTGATAACTGCAATGACTTTATGGTATGTCTAGGCCCTAGACGTTAGGGATATAGCATGAAATAAGTATGATTCGGATATCTGGCTGGTCGTATAGTTCAAGACAAACTCCAGCGCTATATAAAATATAATAACTCGTTTTCGAGGTACACACAAAGGTTTTCATAATAAATGTTGAAGACAAGTCCATACCAACTCAAGGACTCCAGTTACGTTATTTTTAGTAGGTATATATTTCGTTCTTTGACATTCGTTTGATGTTACTATATATTGTCTATGTCAGACACAGTAAGGATAGTCATGTATAATAATATGTAAATATTTTTGTATCTCGTTATGATGACAAATACTTGAAAGAGTTAAAATTCACGGAAATGTTGATAATATTAACAAGATACTTAACGAGTATAATGTCAGTAGTTACTGAATGTAGTACTCCATATACAGATACTTTAAAGAGGAAATATTTCATTGTTTGTTTGTTTGTTTGCGTTGAATAGGTTACAAAATTACTGGACCGATTTGAACTTTTTCCCATTAAAATCGTACATTATTCCTGATATACAGGGGTAATAGAATATTTCATAAACTTTAACGATCCACATGTTACTTTCGATAATGTTTTACAATCTGTGAAAAAAAAATTTTTATCCCGTACGCTGCCAAAATTATTGATAATAGAGCAAAGTGATGTACTACACTTTTATAGAGAATATCAATATATAATATGTAAGTTTACAGTTATGTGACAAACACTTATTTTTTTTGGAACATACAATAGCAACAACAGTACAAACTAGATGACATTATTTGTACCGTGACTAATATTATTCTTAAATACCCGTGTGATGTCGGGGCGATCCACTAGAGAAGTACATAAAAATACGAAATAATATTACATATATTTCTGCCATTGAATATGCACTCAATTGAGTAATAGAAATAGTTTTCTATTCATAAAGTTTACACTAATAACCATTTTGTCAAATAAATTATTAAAACCTTTCATTATTAATTTATATTGGAAAATAAATCGATTTGCTCTGAATATTGTGTTTTTGTTTCCATTCTTAAAAATTACTCGCACGAACCAGTGACATAACTGCGTTTTTTAGGAACGAATTGCCATAAAAAAGCTCCATATTAATGATATTTCTCTTAGTCATAGACTATGTATGTATGATATTGTATGAAACTAAACTCTGCTTGCAGAGGTTTCGTTAGGCCTAGACGTTAATATAAATATGACGGCCTCGGTGGGCCTAGTGCTTCGGCATGCCTTATTTGTGATGAGAACACACACCATGTTGGATTCTTCGCATGGTATAGGTATTTGGCTAAGTATTTGCATTAATGAGTATGATTAGTTGTATATTCTATAGCATATATATTATTACTAGTTACTCGCCCTGGATTCTCCCGGGAAACCTTCCTTGGATCACTCTATCTATTAAAACGGCATCAAAATCCGTTGCGTAGTTTCAAATTTTAAGCATACCTACATAAGGACGGACAGACAGCGCTAGAGAGATTTAAAAATATTTCTATCAGTAGGTTAGTACACATAACACAAGCTCTCTAAACTAGGACTAGGGCGCTGTGTGAATTGTCTAGAGGTATTATTATTAAAAGTTGCATGAATGTTGACATGATCATTTATGTATGGTATGTGTGTATAATACACAAACAAGGGACGCGTAAATATGTATCGGCGCAATTATGTATCAAATGACCTGGAAATTGATATTGGCGATAGTGATAAGATATTACTGTACCATAATAATTACTACATTATTATAATATACTATGTTATGTGATTATGGGATCGGGTTTATAATGCGGCCAAGCTATAAAAATGTTGTTATTAATATAGAAAGTTTCCATTATTATACCCCAAAATATTTATTAATTTATTTCAATTTTACTGAAATTTTGTTAAATATATAGTCTTAATGTTGTTAGCATACTCATCTATACATTTGTATAGATAAGTAGTAAATATAATATGAAACTTTTTATTATTATTGTAATCCCTAAAATAATATAACACAGTTGCTGATTACATGTGTGTGTGTGTTTACTTCTTTTATACCTCCCATTGGGTTTTCATATGTTTTTCAGTATGACAGGTATCACGTTATCATGTGATAATATGATGATACTTATCGTGCAGTTGTGGCTGTACTACTCATGAGTTGATATTCTAGAGTATTAATATATCACACCTTTTTACTCTCTAATTTTATAGTCTTATCTCACTCTGCAACCAAAACACATCTATAAAGTAAGCTGCTTGAAGGCTGAAATGGTGAGACTGAGGTACCTTCCTTAGTAAAGTTATTAAGACATTCTAAAATGTTAAGTCCATACCTACAACGCGCAGAATGCTAATAATTTACCGATGGCAAGGAGTCACATTATATGCTCCTCTTATCCTATATTCTTATACAAATGTGTCTGAATGTGTCAGAGCTCTGACTATGATAAAGTATCCCAAAAAACGCTCAGTTAATTTAAGATTGACATTTATTTTTTTATTTTTAAATACATACCATTCTAAAGGCATTCCAGTAATATGTTTCACCAGATTCAGACAGGTGGACTTTTTTCAATATGAATTAATAACGAAAGGTTCTGGTAATTCTATTCACGAACACATGAATAAAAGAGTTGGGCTTTATAGAAGCATTTGAAGGGATACCGTTCATGTACTCGCAGATATTATATAGTTAAGCGAATTCTATATCATTTATTTTTATATGAGACTGGAATAGCAAGCACGTTCAAGGTACGTTCTATTTAAATTTTATTAGTTTTTTTATTGCTCTTTCGAAACGTAACTAAGGTGAAAGTCATAACAATATTAGTACTTTCATTGAAGAAATATATTATAGTAATAATAAATTCATCATCATCATTACAGCTCTGAAGACGTCCACTACTGAACAAAGGCCTCCCCCAAAGATCTCCACAACGATGGGTCCTATGCTGCTCGCATCCAACGCCTTCTCGCCATCTTGACCAGATTGTCGATTCATCTTGTTGGAGGCATTCACACGCTGCGTCTTCTGGTCTGCGGTCGCTACTCGAGGACTTTACCGTAATAATACATTGCTACTGTATAATTAATGAATATGAAAGATATGAAACGACGCAATCCTATACTATTGGATAAGAATAAGTTTCCAAAAAGTAAACTGAGAGGCTGAGACTGAACCTATTTATCTCTATTGTCTATTACTATATATGTATGAGAAGCATACTTTTATAATAAATATAATTTCACTGTACAGTTTGAAAGTTTTGTGATAAAGGTCCAAACATATTACATGGAATTGTTGTATTGTACATGTAAGTATTTATCGTAAGTGATGAAGATACGTATAAAAATGCAAGTAAAAAAGTGAAGTGGTAAGCTTATGCTTACTTTGATTGATGAACGTTGTTCTTTGTAGTATTGAGATTAATTGTGATAACTAATTTTAATGCATTAATTTATATATTTTTATAAGTCTACAATAAAAATATCTCAATTTAATATTCAGAAAATTCACTCTGGACATTTTATTTTGGCAGTTCATAAAACAGATTATTTCGGTACATTGCGCTGAGTACGTTAAGACCAGGCAACAAAAAATCAGAAATACATTTACAATATACTATAAAAATAGTACAAGTATAATATTAACAAGATAATAAACTTTATCTATGTATAGAGAAAAAGAGAGAACTGAGTATATTATGAGCAAAGTAAATTATGGGAATATTCCAATTTTCGAGAAATTACTTTATTGTTTGAAAGGTATTAATGTCAGAGTGATATAGGCTAAATATTATGTTATTAAATATAAAACTCACAAAGTTATGAGTAGCCGGACGAAGCCAGACAGGGTTAATTAATCTCATTAGACATGATATAATTATACACAGAAAATCTAAGATTTTCTAGTTACCTTCAAAGGATAAATAAAGTTATAAAACGTGTATAAAACTTTTAAACTGTTAACTTCTTGTATTTTTTTGCCTTTGCGCTAGAAATTAACAGAGAAAGTCATAATTGGATAGAACTAAATAGTTCCACCCCACAGTCTAAAAGTTTGAAGCGAACATAGAATTTTCTGAACTTATTCCATTACGTGGCTTTAAAACTGTTAAAGTTAGCAAGTTATGTACTATCGTCGTTCCAGTTAATGTTAGGGCCTAGACATATGTAATAATGTGGCTTTTATTCAGTTAGCAGTATACTACGGTGGTAATAAATTGTTTAGATTACTTTGGATGTAAAGTACTGAGTATTTGCGTCCATGACCGCTCAAGTACTTTGTAGAAGGTGCAATTAAGTTAGCTCCAATTTATTTAACCCTTACCTAACTTAGCTATATTTTATTATTATACACTTACCTGAGGTGACCTTAATTAAAATAAAACTGTATAAAAGCAGAATATTAATAGAATAAATTTTAGTACGTAATTAGGTCTATAGGGAATACACTTCATATTAGCTTTATATTTAATGGTAGTTTAATGCCTTCACAATTCTATAGAAGACTGTAATAAATTTTCTTCATGAATACCTCTATTCTATTATTTTCTGCTATGAAGCAACAACATAAAAATGACTTATCTGGGGCATTTAACTTACAATGCAATTTTTCAGGCTAATGACACAAAAAAATACTAAATACTTTGTGTGTGATCGTAAATAAAACGTCTACAATTTATGCAAGATGCAAACAATTTCTATTATGTACTAAAGTGCAACTTACTCTGAGAGTATCATCTCTTCGCCGCTCTTGAGCCAGTAATTGATAGCCTGAGGGTATGCTTCAACCAGACACTCCAGTTTTGCTGTGGAACTTGTTGGCACTCCTATTACCTTCGTTGCCACTAATGTCGAAGGCGCAACTGTAGACAAAGTTACAAAGTTCACATCGAATTTAGTTGAGTTGACATTATACAACATAGATGCTTTGTTCGAGTACTTATGGTATTTGATATTTATGTTTCAGGTTGCCAGTGGTATCTTATAACTATTAATTAATTAATGATTATTTTGATAATCATATATTAATTATAGTGTATAATTTATACTAATAAACTATACATTTTTTTTTATTTAATTGTAATGAGTGCATTATGAAAACTACTGCAATAGTCATAAATTTCATATGACACTAAAACAGAGTGATAATATTTTGAGACAAGCACAGTATGTAAACTACGGATAATGTAAGAATATATGTGGTTTATATTCATATTATTACACCTTTAAATATTTTGTAATGAAAATAACAATTAATAAGTTAATTTGTAAAAGTTATATAACCATACTTAACTTGTATATTTTTACTTTTACTATGAAACACTCGAATAGTTTTGGGTCATCCGGGACCCTACTCATGTTCCTAGCGGGTCTGACAACTTGAAACTTTTAGCACAATGTTAATAATTATTAAATTGTTATTAATGACTATTATTAATACAAAGTTTTAAAAAACTAGATTAGTGTACTTCTTATTTTAATTTAGAATTATGTAATATTCAATTTGAGATCATTTTAAATAACAATTGCTTTTTGTCTCATTGAGTCACTTAAAACAATGGAAATAACTGGTGAATTATTATTGTATTGTCTACATTTTTATGAATTAGCAGAATATGTATTAGAATTATTAATTCAGCTGTTTAAGACGCTGAGTTATGTCGGATGGTCCGAGGTTTAATCTCACATAATATCAATATTTCTAGTCATGTACTTATACTTATCTATAACGATTTCTATTTTTAAAAGCACCGTCAAAATATAAATCACAAAATACATAAATCACTGTTTGATTTAAACCAGAGGTCGTTGGTTCATTTATTTAATATAATATAAAACAAAAATATCAATGGTAGTGAGATTTTGAATTTAGCGATACTAAAACTTTCTGTGTCAATTTGTAAATAATAGACTTCTCTAGTGAGATACAAGAGACAGCGATAGTCTTGCCTCCAGGCATACTATATTCAAACAAAATGTTCCGCGAAATATGATCCCAGAGATCCCAGAAATGTTCTGTACTCTGAGACTGTTGTAGTCGAGTGTTAAGTACACAATGACAACATTCAACATAATTCAATACGGAGAATGGAAATAGAATCATCATAGTCATAATAAGTACATTTAACGTTTTACTATTACTTAAAATGTAAGCAAATGCAATGAAATGGTACGTAACAAATTAAAAATAACTTACAATTAACACTCAGCATAATTCTCTTGCTAATTGCTGGAGGCACATCGTTGGAGGCGATACACAGGTACGCACCCATCTGCCTTCGTTCCACCCGGGTGAGGTTCAAATTCGGACTCATAAACATGTCAACTGTATAGGAAAAAATAAAACATTATACTGCATGCAAATAAAAATTGTTGGGGGAAGGGCATTGATAATTACGGGGACTAGTGACCCGATTACTATCAATATATTGTTAAGTGTACCTCCCCGCGGCCATACATAGAAATAGTCATGGTTGATCCTGATTTATTTATCATGCTTCACTTACCCGCCATCGTACACTATTAATGCAATGGAAGCACCATTTCAGTATCACCCATTAAAAAAACGCAAATTGCCGTCTCTTGGATGACCTAGAATAGCACATTAGCAAACCAAATTAGTTCGATATAAATTCAGTATACTTGCTTCCTTTTTCAAAGTTATACAAAACTGACGTTATCTATGTATATGTAATGTAATAGTCCTAAAATATCAAAAATACTCATATATTATTGATTAATTTAATCTGTAATGTATCTTTATTCAAATACAAAATTAACGCATGATATAATACAAAATTAAACAATTTTAAATACAACATACGCATTATTTAATATAAATAATATAGACTAACGGTTCGATGAATGATCGTTGTTTTATCGCACAGTGCCCTTTATATTATTCTCACAATACACGAAGATTATAATCATGATCGTCAATTTATTAGAGCAACCGTAATTTCGATCAGATTCAGAAGAAGGCTCGTAAATTGTCCAATGAACCACTGACGAGAAAAGATGGTGCGCTGATATGATTTATGACTTTATTCAACCGATAATTTCAAAGAACGGTATATATTGTCCGATCATAAAATATATGAAGCCATTTGTCACATTACTATGTTTGATTTGTAGCTTTTGCGTACGCAAATATGTATCGGTAAAACATGTTGGTGAATAATGGGTATATATATTATATACGAGTCATTTTTGAAACCGTCGATGCTTAGTATTTCACTTTTTTTGAGTAATTGGATTGCAAACAAGCTGTCAGCCCACTTGGTGGTAAGTGGCAACCATTATCTATATACATAATGTACAGCGCCACAGTATCATATATTGCAGCATTATATGTATACCTGTTTGTACCCTTTGACATTCTTTAAGACAATAAATATAGTTCTAAATTTGAATTTGGATAATATAATATAAGAAAAATTACTACTTTGTCAATTTATTTATATTTCCTACTTTCCAGTGAAGTAAACATCTATAAAAAACTAAATTAATTCTAGAGACTGTGGGATTAAAATATACCTAGCGATATATTAAGTGTTGGTGTACCCCGATATCAACATCTGATAATGTCTCTAACTATTCCTTTTAGGTAACATTATGACAATAGTATTATTATTTATAACCTATTTTAAGGGTCGGTGAATAAAACTAAATTACATATGGAGTAAGAAATTGTGCAGGATGCTCAAATTAGGATTATTCGACAAGACAAAGATCAGCAATAATATAAATGGGTCCTTGTAGATTGCTATCTGTTTGAAATTTCTGGGAACGAAGAAGTCTTACTTTTTTCCCAGAAATAGTTACGAGTAGCACGACATATATTTCACGACTAACCTTTTTATGACAATTTTACTTTTTATTTATATACAATATTGATTGTACAATTGAAAATATAGCTTTAGACTGGAAGTAAATAGTTACTAAATAACTCATTTTATTAAATTTATGTCAACGCTGCCTTGCCTGATATCTTAGTTCAGTTCATATCTTGACGTGGTATCGATTGCTTTCCATCTCTTTCGCCAACTTTTTTTTAATGACTGGAATATAGTCATACATACTAAAAAAGCTATAAGTAACAAAACAAAATATACATATCGCAACGTTACTTAGTCCGTGATTAACTTATAAATTCTAATAATTACCTTTATGCAATTCCCCGTTATCATTTCTTAGTTGAATATTCGTGCCATCTTCTCTCCGCCAAAGTATACGGGGAAGTGGCCGACCATCAGCTCGACATGACAAGCTAACGTCCTCGCCTTCTTGTGCGATTACGTCGCCGCTCGTACCCGCATCAAGGATATTTGGAGGCACTAATTAAAGAAAATAAAAGACAAATTAATATTTAAAGTTACTAGAGAGAGATTTTGTCAGACAGATACAAGCTTTTTTTTCGGACTACTCTAAAGATATACTCGCAGCTGGCCTTTACAGCTTCACCGGACAACAGAGGGCCAGTGCAGATGGCACTCCAAACCCGCGGACTTATGAAGCGGCTGAATGCCTACTTCTGCCTGACGGATACGACTTTAGTTTGAGGGCACCCTTAGCGGTGGCTAGGCCTAGGCCGTCGTTATTTAGATCCCCGTTTGAATTGGACAGTGGTTCCATCGGAAGAGATCCAAGCATCCTTATAACGGTCCTCATAATGTGCATATGTTTGTCTTGTTTAATCATCTTTCCATTTTCTACTAGCACCCTGTCAGGGTAAGCCATTAGCGCTGGTGGAAGCAAAATTCCATTGTCACCCATTAGAAGTGAAAGAATTTCTCAAATCTATACAGTGATTTAACATACTACCATATAAATCTACAATGATAATTCAGTCCTCATTTATATCTTCTAATAATGTTTAGCACAAATGTGTATTTTAAAGGCGGAAATGCATGTACTTCATATTTATTAAATAATAATATTAGCAGTATTTGCCCATTACTTAGGCTCTGGAGAGCTTACTTCGACTAAATTCGGCAAATAAAGTTTTACGGAAAAGCCCACGGGAAATGAAAATATTGGCTTTCGTACGGAAGTATATTTTTGTGTGTAGGTACGAGTATATGTACATATTTAGAATGGTAATTGCGTATTTGTTGCTTGCATCAGCTTTTTTAATTTCGCTTAAATTGGAGGGGGAATCTTTAAATTAAACTGTAATATATATTACAAATTTCCGTACTTCAGGAACCTTTAATATTTAATTCGACGCTACGAGAAGATATTTTCTTAGGCAACATTATTCAAATCAGAACTGCGCAGTAATTAGAAGTAATTTATTATTAAAAAATAGGAAATCACTTTCTGTGAGTAGAAGTCTAATTTTATATAACAAAAAAAAACAGCAAACCACTCGAATGAAGGTAGAAAATTTAAGTTTAGCAGAATTGTTATTCTCAGCTCAGAGAATGTATTTTAACAAGAAAATAGATACCATTATTCTGTTTTTTCTCTGTTCATTGTTAGCTGTTTGAACACCAAGACGATACGAATCTTCGGTCAATGTTTATTATTGGAAACACTCCATGTGTATAATAATCCTAATATAGACAATTAATGAGGCCTAAGATTTAATATGAAAATATGTCACTGATATTAAATCATCCTGTTCAATTATATTTCATAATGTTAATAATTACATACCTAATTAATTACATTGACAGAAAATAAACAGCAAAACAAATAATACAATGCATTTGATAAATAATAAATATATGTTTACAATGTACTAGAAGCGATAATTGAAGTATATATATACAGATTTACGAGTACATAGATAAATCTATGAATGTATTATAATATTATTTAGTACTAATATTTTTACTCGGAAAGTCAAATAAGTATACATTTTATTTCTTAGAAGAAAACATTATTGTAATTATAATTAAAAAATATATAGTCGAGTTGAAAAGTTACTTCCATCGGTTTGAAACGTATTAGAGTAAAGATTTGTTTGACTTCGTGTACTAAATACACATTGAAATTAATTATAATTAATAATTTGTTCTTTTAATTTAATATAATATAATAAAATGTTAAATTGGTAAATCCTTCGACATTAATTAGTTGGAACCTTCATACAATACTGCATACAATTATAGTGCATAATAATAATAGATAAAATAATATTCTTGTTTAGATTATAATTAGGCACTCCTTAAAACTTCCTTTTTATTAGAATGTTCATTGCGATAAGGGTTCATATAAATATATATAAGTATAATATAATTATACATTTTTAAGTCTATGTGTTTATTTTATCATTATCACTATAAAATCTACACTGTACTTACATTCTTTCCAATATAAATAATCGTTTCCACCATATAGGTATACGCTTTCATCTTTAAGTACCCAATAGAATATAAAATTGGAAGATAAATTTAAATCGTTTACTCCAAATTGGCTATAATGGTCTATCCCCGAACAGAATAACAAAGATTACACAAAATGTATTCTCAAAATAGTTTCTGGCCTAGCTACAATCGATATAAATTTGTTTTATAAGCAATTAAACAGAACCATTTATAGGAATAAACACATTTAATGGGGAAATTTAATTTTACTACAATTTTACTTGAAATTCCTTTTTTTTAATTATAAAAAAGGCTTCAAGCTATTATATTAAATTTAATTATTATATCAAGAAACCACGGATGATCCTCAGGAGTGACAATATTGCAAACGTTTAGGGTTTAAAAAAATATTTTTTAAGTAGTATTCGTTTAAGATTTACACGATGAGATATAATGTTAAGAAAGTACGTACAAATTTTATTAAAAAAAGATTTAAATTCACGTCTAAAATTTACAACTGAATTGGATGTTTTTTTTTTTAAGACGGCTGATGTTTTCTATACACATCGGAAAAAGAACATGCAAATTTTCTTTATATATTTGATAACTAAACATAATTTACATAAAATATTATTAGTTATATTGATAAATCTTTTAATAGTGTAATAAACAAAGTAACTGTTTCGATCGTTTGTTTGTTCTCACTTCATGTAAACAACGCTATGGATTTCATTAAGGTTTTTACTATAATTTCCAGAATTTCTTCCGAAACGTATACATCTTTTTATGAAATACATGCATCTGTCATATACAATATACGAGTACAATCATGCTAAACAAGGATAGATCAACAAAACATTATAAAATAAAGCTATATTCCAAATTTCAGTTTTCTATTCCTATTACATTTACCACATTGATGGCCAGTCAAGATAAATTATTTTATAAGTATAGATCTGTAAGATTATTATATAAGCTGTGTTTCACTGAAATAAAAGAGGCGTGTGGCACGTCCTACTGGGAGCTATGAATGCGAGCACGCGCCTATTAAGCTACGTGCTCATTCCAGATAAGCCCCTAACCTCTAAGGATACTCTAAGCTTTGCTCCTCATACGCTCCCTCGTGTAGCGTTCAATAGAATTTCTGATTTTCAGGAATTTTATACGTAAATTATAATAAAAACTAAAAGGAATTTTATTGTAATTGTAAATACTATATTATTTTTATTTTGTTCTTTAAAATTTTTTACCGAGATTAAATCCGTATGTATTCTGTAGTAGTATTCACTTATTAATTGGTTATAGAAGAACCTAAGAACATTTTCTTATACATATAACTATTATTTGTCCAGATATTTACTTTGACTATATGTGTTCATGTGATCAAGAATACACAGCTATAAAAAATATTTTAGGTATAATGTTATATGTATATGTATATATTGTTCAATATGTTCCTCTATAAATTTTATATGAAACTTAATAAATAGATACCTATCATCGTTATTTGCGGTAATTTTTAGGAACAGTGCCAGAAACGCTACGGAGCGTGTTTTAGTTAGGTAATTATGAAGCCAAATAAGCAGAAATCTCTTATACATCCACAATATTAATATTAAACAGTGAATACTAACTCGAACGTGTTTTCCAACGGTTTCGTATTTAGTAATGTTTCAAATTAAGATGAGATTTATTTGGAAAATTAAATTGCAATGAAAGTGCGATATTTATGTTTTAAGAGCACTTAAAATTTACTACTTAAAAAGAGTTTTCAGCTACTATATTTGCTTTCAAAATGGTGTAGTTAAGCGGCTTTAGAGGCGTTGTATATTTTGTTTAAAACTAAGTATATTTTTAATTTATATATCAAAAAATGATTTGTATTAGAGCTTTGTTTAAAATCAAAACTTGCTGAAAATATCTTAATCAATTGCTAAATTTTATATGAAATTTTTAACTTATTAATATTATGTTGTTAAGTATATTTCATAAATTACATTTTATGATGCTACCTAAAATATTTAGAGCTTCTAATGGTGGAATGTGATGGGATCTCTGGACAACTTAAAATCAGTATTTACTATTATTATAGTGATATCTAATTATTATTGTAATATCTTAATCAATGTGTATACAGAAAATTAAATTTTTATATGAAATTTTTAACTTATTATATATTATGTTGTTAAGTATATTTTTTTTATAAAATACAAAATATTTTCACCATTTTAAAGGTAGTATATTCCACAAGGACACAGACTACTACTTATAACAGGACGTGTAAAACAGATAAATTGTTAGAGATTTTCTCTAAATAAAATATAATATTTGTATGAAAAATTATAAATAGTAATTTTCTTGATATCTCGGTATTTTTTTGTAATTACTATATCATTACTCACCTAATACATCGACACAGCCTATTTGTTTCTTCATTGTGCTTGTATTTATTTGACACATGTAACATCCTCTGTCTTCTACCTTTAAAGGTCTGATGTGGAGCTGCCAGGAGTTTGGAGAGTCGTTGGTGACAGCATACCGTGAACTGTGGGTGACTAGACGAGTGTGCAGGGTGAGGATAGTCTGGTCATCTGCACGAATCCATGCCACCTAAAAATAATATTAATGTTTTAGATTGATAGCCACTAGAAAGAAGTTATGAGAATATATCCTATGGGACCTTTCAATAACAATAATTATAAAACAAGACAGCATTGTATGTATTATACAATGCTGTCTAGTTTCAAAGCAGTACATGTACTAAGTATTTATAAATACATTGTATATAGGTACATAATATGCAAATAACACATTATTTATCAACACATATAATTGTAATCCTAAACACAAATGTTTAAATCGTGTGATAATCGACTATGGGAAGTAAACCATTAGACCAGGCATTTAACAAAAATGTAACAGTTTTTAAGAAGAATAACTGTAACTGTAATGTCTAATTGGTTTTAATAAAATATATTATTATTTTAAACAACCGACATTCTAAGTAGTTTCGTCAGTTAGGATTATGTTAACAAAGTAACTTCAGAATATTGTACATAAGTGTCATAAAAGATCACAATTAAAAAGATAAAAACTACAAAAACACAAATTAATCTTTACATAATTATTATACTCATAATTTATAATATAACAAAACACTGTCTAGCGGAAATATGAATTATATAGGTAATCGGTAACTTACGTATTTCATACTTATGTAGGTATATATATTCAAGATCTATTGTTCTAAACCAATAATTATCTGAATAATTAGATGAATATTTATTCCAGCAAAGAGTTTTATGTAATATAATAGTATTGTTTTATTTATAAGATATAACATTCTAAGTAGTCAAATTATTAGGCAGGTATTGTCATATAAAATTTCTATAATATTATTATAAAAGTTGTATACACAAATTCCCTGTTGCTTCTCATTATTTCCGAGAAAAGGTCAATACAATTATGAAACATGATTTTGTATAATATATAAAGAACAAAATTAATAATGAAGTCAATTTTTATAACACAAACATGAACATTTTTGTGGAATTCCAATTGAGGTGATGTAATAAATATCTAATGTAAAGCGACTCATGGCCAAATTCAATTCCATTCAAAGTAGTCTAAGGTAAAAAAAGACGTAATACGAAAGTGAATTTTTCCATTAGGCTGGTCAGAAATCAAGAGAAATCGCATTAGGCGAAATTCGAATGTATAAAAGACTAGGAAATGTTGTAAAAAAAGAGAGTTAAATGATTTATTCAATAAGTGTTTTGTTTTATTTTAAGGAGTGTGTTGAGGAGTGTTATCTCTATTTATCTTTAAAATAGGTATAATTGCAGGATAGTTGTAAGTACAGTACCATTTCTATCTCTTTATACCTGAAGAAGGTCTGATGCACTGATTCCTCAGCGATTTTTTTTTTTTTGATTTCGAATGTCAATTTTTTTCATACGACTTGTTTTTAAAGTGCAGACGTGGAATAAGAAATGATTTTGAAATTCAATCCCTTAGGCTGAAATGGAGATTCAAAGTTTGTATGAGAAAACAATATCAAACAGAAAATTTTGACTTAATACTTCATACGAACACTTCCAAAAACAAATAAGTATATAACTAAATAAACAGGTATTTCATATTTTTTCGTAAAGCAACTCCTTACAAAGAATAATGTTTGCTTTCTAATTCGACTAGCTAGTAAAGTAGCTTTTAGTATTATAACAAATGGGGTCAACAAACAATATAAGACTAATGTAACATTATTTTAATTTTCATTATATCTCGAACACTTGGAATAAACATAGAGTGAAAGGCTGACTATCGTTTAATATCAACTTAATACATACATTCAAGATAAACAGTGTTCAATTAATAAAATTGTACAAATGATAAAATGCAAAAAAATTAGAAACCTCAACCGCCAACTCTCAGCCTTGCTCAGATGTGCTATGTAGAGAATATGGGAATATAGTATCTTATTTTCTATGGCTTAAATGATTTTAAAAAATGTACAAAATATGTCTGTGTAGATAGTATTTTTCTTTATAACAATATGTACTTGTATAATAATAATAACAAAGCGGATATGATGTTAATAATAATTCAACTGCGTAGAAAAAATCGCGAAAACCGACGAAATTACTGGAATTTTAGGATTGAATATCCTCCCGGGCACTTTCGCAAATCGCAATACGGAATTGCAAAATACAATACACGTTTAAGGGAACATAATAAGGGCAGATAGATGCGCGCAAGAAATACGTTTTGCGCGAAATGAATAAAGGATTTGTAGATATAACAAAGTAAACGAACTTTTTGTTATATATTTCAGCCATTCTTTAAACGATGTTTTAAATTTGTTTTATTTAACAGAGTATTTCGTACGAGAATTGGGATATAAAGGATTGACAAACAAAAAATGTATTTCATCGCTATTTTCATTATTTAAAATTGAGAATTAACTTTTGCCAACATACAAACAACGTATAACTATTACGTTATCTGTATGTTGGCAAAAGTATTATTTCATCAAATAAACGGACAAAAAAATATAGTACAAATAGATTTCATCTTCGACTATATATTTTGAATTATAGAAATACGATATTTTTCAAATATTATTATGATTTACAGGAAAGTTTTTGGTATCAGTGAAATTCAAACTCACAACCATCACATGTAAGTCGGCGTAGTAACGATTGGTTATGATACCTTCATATAATTTAATAATTTATCTATCTAGTATTACCAACATTTCTTCTAAGTAGGTAGGTACGCACGTGTTTTCAGAAATTTTACTACATACAAATAATACCTAGTATTACAATTTCCAAGTTACTGAAATATTAAACTTTTAATTAAAATACTTACATACTACGTAGTTCATATTGATTAATATACTAAAACTCTCTCCGAATTCTGTATACCAAGAAAATCGAGATAAACAACTTTTATTTCTAACGAAAATTTTATAGTGACTTTGATTTGGTTGTTAAAAATCTATTTTCATAACCTAGTCGTCTTTCCTAAAGATTTATTCTATTAAAATGCAAGTCATTGGAAAGGTTATGGATGAAAAACGCTGAGTACTGATTGTGTTACAACGTAGATATGAGTATAAAGTTGAAATGAGCGTCTCTATCGCCTGATTTTTGCAACCCTTATAAATTTCAACTTTCTACGGAATAGCAGATCAAGATTTTATATAAAATATCTCGTTTTAAGCCGCAATGAAGCTAAATGAGCATTTTTGAATAGTAATTTCAAGAGGTTACTGAAAGAAAATGCTTTTCCAACATTTTAAATTGAATTTTCACAAACGATCTTCAAATAATGTATTTTTATTCAATTTAAAATATAAAGATAAAAATCAGCAGAATTGAATAATAAAATAGAATTGACAAAAATATCGTATGTATATACAAAAATTACAATCAGATATCCAACTGTCTTAGAAGAAATATGTTTTAAAATCTCTTTTATTATTTCAGCGGACTTAAAAAAGATTCTTCGTCTAAAATTTTCCTGATCAGGACTAACTCCTAAAATACATAACTCTTAAAGTGGATGGATTTATGCGAACAATGACCTTAGCTATTAAGAATATTGTGATATAAAAAAATTTAGTAATTTAGTTAAGACGTACCTATGGTGTATCTCATTGGAGATGGAAATATTAGTAAAGATATTGATCTTTACTAATATTTACAACTTGTTAACAACATCAAATATTTTCCTAAATACTCTTTTGTGTATGATTTTCTGTGTCACTACAGTAACTAGTTAATAGTCAAAGTGAAATTTATGTACCAAGTTTTTTTAGTCATACAAATACAAATAATTGGATCTAATTTCATGCCTGTGTTAGATAACTGTGTTGTTTTATTTATAGGTGATAGTAAGCGGTATTCGCTGCTTATGTCATATATATGAACAAAACAGTAGACATGTGATGTGATACCCATCATACCACTCATGCGTTGCCATTCCAGAACAATAAGATGTCATACAAGAGGTACTAGAGGTATATCCTATAATTGCATTGTCTAATCTGATTCTATAACTGTAACACAGATTACGGAGCAAGCTTCTTGTGGCCTAAAATAGGTGAGCCTGACGTACCTATACGGATGATTTTTTTCAGTTTACATCTGGTACAATTAACTATTGGAGGTATTGAATATACGTCACTTTGTTATTCCTAATGCCTATTGAATCTAAAATATCACGGCATTTTCTTCAAGCTCTTGAATTGAATAGCATAATTAATATTAACAATTATCTTTTGAGTAAAAATGAAAAGATGCTGAAAACAAATGTTTTAGATTTTCAATAGAATTACATGAAAAAGCTGTTTGAATAAGAAGCCGTAACTAAAGCCATTCGTATAAAAAGGTGTTTGTAAATTATACTTTCAAAATGCTGCCGCGTACAACGGAACGAGCGTTAACAAAACCTTATAAAGAATTCCATAAATATGTATCTATCAGCTGTGTCAATCTATAAACTTGGTATTTTGCGAAGGACTTATGAATTATTACAAAGTTTATGATGAGGAGGGGACCCTCCTTACTCCTCCTGGAGGAATCAGCAAATCGTAATGAGTTAACGCCTCAGTAAAATGCAAATGAATTTGATGCCTCGGTGGGTACACGACGAGGAATATAGTTAAGTGGAATGCCTCTCGTGCTGTACTTCATGAGTGTGGATTACGAGTTTGTCTATGACTCTAACTTATGTACTGAGTTAAATTTCGTTTCATAGCTAAGTTAACAAAATACCTATATGTATATAGATAAAACGTACGGATTAATAATGGACGATGTGGTTATTTATATGGATAATTAAATAAAAATATTTACGCAGGTCTGTCTAGTAGCTGTGTAAATAATGATAGTGTCGTGTGTGTGTAATAAGACGATAAAATCATGTTTTTTTCTGAGATAAAAACTATTAAAAAAATTTTTCAAAAGAAAACTCTGCAGAAGTCAGGTACCGAAATACAGGCACACAATAGGCAAGAAGTACAGATAATATACACTTATCCAACTCATAACGAATGATTTCCTTATGTTATTTGATATTGTGTTTGTACATACAAAGTTAGTATCAAACTGGAATAGATGATGGAAAATGCAAGCCCATTTACTTAATACACTTTTATCTGATTCATGTTTAAAATCACTACTAATGGTTTACTTATTCTATACATCTATGTTAAGAATCTCTGTCACATGTCACAGAGTTAAGAATAAATTGGAGTGGATGTTGGAATTTGCACGATTATTTATCAAAAAACATTGATATTCTATGTATTATAAATTTAGTAATTTTAATGTTAATTTCTACTGGAAGTGTTGTAAACACTTTGCATATTTTTGTATACGTATTTGTTTTTCATCAGTTATAAATGCCTTTTTTACAGTTTTTAATACTGTCACTTATTTTTTTCTTTTTTCACATTCGTAAAATACATTATTTCAGATTCCTTATTATGTATATTATTCAACCTGGTCAAGGTGTAGATGGACGGCTAATCTATAATAGTCAGCTAGTAACTAAGTGGCTGAAGTAGCAATAGGCGATAATGCTTTTGACTAGAGCTTTCTCTAGTTGTCAAAGTCAAAGTCAAAGTCTAGTAGACTTAGTTAATCATGCGGGTGCTATTACTAGCATAGAATCCTAATAGGTCAACTACATTGGAGAGAAATAGGTATAAAACTAGTTTTTAATTACTGCTAAATATTCCCCGGAGGCAGATATAACGGGATTTCATACTCATCCTATTATTCTCTCCTGATGTACACCGTAAGCGCATTCCATATTTATCCATTAAAAAACATACTCCGGATTTAAAAGTGTATTTATTTTTATTTTATTGTTGTAAAAACTTTTCTACTACTTATTTTTATAATTACGATTAGGTAATCAAAAGGTAAATTTATCACATTACATAAAGTTTTGCTTTTAGAATAATATGTCGCCTCCAGTATGGTGAAGTTCTGAGATACTTGAAGGTACATTTTATAGGTAAAAGGTAATCAAATTTCCTGTGTTTATTATTTTCTTGAATAAATCATTCTCGCTCTTGAATATTAATTAAGAAAGTACGCTGATTTATTCAAACTGAGTATAACATGATAATAAATATTAATTATTAAAGTAAACATCAATTTTCACGTGGCGAGATAAAAGACATAGATAATTAAATTCCATTAAAAATGAATATGAGATAGAACAATGGCATAATAAAAACAACAAATTATTTTTAAACTGACGCTAATTCATAAAATACATGTTTTAATTTATTGTATTAATGAATTAAAAATATATTGGCAATTAAATTACAAACTTCTGACGTAATCTAGGGCGTCTTATGCCGAATTTCGTGGTGATATTCATGTACATAGGCGACGGATATCTACTTACCATTTTACATAATATATATATATATATATATATATATACTATAAATCAGAATGTGATAAAATATATTCACAGCAGATTAAATAACCTGGTAACAAAACAAAATAGATTCGTAAAGTAAAATAGGTACTCTTAATTTATCTGGAAGACAGAAATATCAATTCTGTATCAAAATAATAATACACCCACAAAATGTAATAAACCAGCATTTCACTTCCGTCATAAACATAGTTTCCTTTTTCCTTATGCCAATCAAATCACATCAGAAGGAGGACAGAAATATCATCGTAGTATGAGTGAATGAACAGGTCCCCGTAAAAACACTAAGCGAGATTAAAAATACGGCGTAAAATTGCTATTCGATATTGTACTCTGTCTCCAAGTCAGTAAAACTTTTAGCATTTTCCTAAAAAAAACATACCATTTTTTATTAAGATTTTTTCCTTCAAGTTGTCATTTTCTACATCCTAACATGATTGATCACGTTGTTTTCATGTATTAGTCATCGTTAATATTGAATTAATAGAGATGACGTAATATTACAAACATAATAGATGGATTATACAGATTCTTATGTACAAGCTGCTATAATTATTAAAGGAAAAGGCATTTTCTAGTTATTTTTCTAAAGTAATTAATGTAATGAAACAATACCTACATAAAACCAATTACTTATCTAGACAGAAAAAGGAATGGAAAATTAGATTTACTTCTAAGATCCCTAGTTGCTGGCAGAGCAGCCTTGCTTTTTTATAATATTTGTATTGAGATTGTTTTTGAATTTCATGAAATAGTTATAAATTAAAAAAAAACTGAAAAAAATATTTTTCTTTCTTTCTTTCTTTCATTGTGGCATAGTGCTTTACTACCCTTGACTTAAACCGAAAAGATCGAATAGAGCCGACATAAAATCTAATATGAGTCAATTTATAGGTACATCTGACACATAATCTGGGAACGGACACATCATAATAAACAAAATGAATCCGAAGCAGTAGATTATCCCGTTGCTAAGCTCGATTCAAATGAGTTTATCTAATATTGTATTAACAACAAATTCATAACTCTGACTACCCCGCCTAGTACTTATACTAGACTGCTAAATCGTCCTATACTCATATTAATAAAATAATGTTAACAGTTAGATTGTCAAGGTATATAGGTTCTAGGTAACATCTCTGTTTAGATGTCATTAGATTGATCGATTGGTTGCAAAGGAAAAGAGACAGTTTGTCATGAAGAGGACACTAAAGGGATTCTCAATAAACGAGGGTTATTTACGAACCACTTTCTACTCTTCGAGCAGAAAAAACACATGAAAAGAGTAAATCCACTAGACAGACATTTAGAGTAGTCTCGAATTGAAAGGTCATTAATTTTGTTTTGTTGTCGACATCTTTGTGGTGAGACGTTAGTGAACAACTACCTTGTAGTATTTAAGAGGAATGATACTGCAACGAACTAAATACAATGTGTTATTAACACCTGTTAATCTCAAATGACATAACATATGTTTAAATTAAGTACACAATACTTACTGATCTTTCTATATTTTGCTGGTTTTTTAATAGTAATATTATTTATATTTACAAACTACGAGTATATGAATTTGAAACAATAAATTCTTTCATAGCTTGGCTTCAAAACTCTAATTTACAATTATTAAGTATTAGTGACAATTATTTTTACTAATACCCAATAAACAACAACACAAAAAAAACTTTATTTTAATAAACTATTTATTTCTAGTACATTTGAATGTTTCGAATAAAAGTCAACATCAAATAAATAAGTCTACAACACAAACAACAAATCTAACTTCACGGGATGGAGAGTTTCCTGTTAGAACAAAACATTCGTAAAATTATCGTGCTAATTATCATTTTCATTTGTAATTACCTTATAATCCCCTAGATCGGACACTGAGCACGTGAGCACAGCCGCCCTTCCAAGGGGGACAGTAACGTTTTCTATAGGTCCAGTGAAGTTGGGCTCCACGTCGCGAAGGGACGCGGTGGGACCCACCCTGCTAGGCGGCAATGTTGTCTGATACCGCATACTGCTTTTTACAACTGAAAATAAAAAAAGTAGTGAGTACAAAAATATAATTTTGGATCAATTTGCAATATTGAATTCAGTATGTTGAATACACAACATTATTATAGCAAATTATGTCTTAAGAAACATTTTTATAGTAAATAAAAATATGATAAGTATCTCACGGTCTCCGTACCGTGAGGTATTTACCAGTGAGTTGAGGTACTTATCAGTGTGTCCCTATCTTCAATCTATCAATCCGCACCATTCGTGGAAAAAGGAAGTAAGTGATTTTCACCAACTTTTCAGGAGCTTAAAAAAACTGTCCTATATTTTTTGTATGAGTTCTAGAAATAAGTTTCAAAGAGAAAATCGTAGATCACAGTTGTCTTCAACTACATGTGTCATTTAATTTAGGAACAGCTTCATGTACTTCCAGATAATCTAAAAAAACACGGTTACTTCTGTATTCCACGAAACACAAAGAACATTTGCAGGGGTAACTACAATTATTGCTTTATTGTTATGTATTTTTAAATATATGAACAAATTTAACTCTACTTACGCCTTTATACTCTCCTATATTTCATTAAAATCTAGAATTGCAAGTATAATTACGTTGTTATTTAACGAAATATCATTTTTTGTACATCGAGTTACGTATTTCTAGGGAGCCATTTATTTTAGTTTAGTTAGTGTATTTATAAAAATAGCTTTTATAATGCGGAAAGTAACTGAATATTTAATTTGTATCATGTAATACCTACTTCTTACAGTAAATAGTATATTATGTGCGTGCATGTAAGTCAAAAGTATAAATATAGGGGCAAATTAATTTAGAGAATATGGAAACAAACAGGGTTATTATTAATTTATTATTATTTTTAAAGAAATGTTTATTGCCTCCATAATCAACTTAATCAAAAAATGTTCAAAATAGTGATATTTTTATTATTTTTATTGATGTTCATTATCCTCAACTTTGGAATCGGACTCTGTGGTTTAGTTTAGTTTAGTCTTAGATTTAGTACTTAAGTTCTTATAAAACGTCTGATAGTGTGGTGGTATGTTTTTATCTTTATATAGATTCATCAAGTCTTTGTATATATTTTAGGTATCGGTAGCGGTGCATCATACTAATGCTTGATTTCAGAAGGCTCGCTGTGTGCAGCTCTTTTTTTCTCATAACTCTTCCCCTTCTATTTGTCTATTATTTGGTGTCTCATCAGCGAATGCGTATTTTATTTGGAATTTCCCCGGACATTGAGGATCTGCCGAAATCTCTTTAATTTTACTCCAACTCGTGTAGTAAATATATTAGGTCCTAATATATGAAATTTGTAAGGGAGTAACCTAATTACTCCCTTACAAAACGCCAATTTCAGTTGATTTTTCAAAATATAATACATTTATTTAATCAAAATATGGTCCATTGCTATTCATGCACTTTTGCCATTTGATAGGTAGTTTTATTGATTCCTTTACTAAAAAACCATTAGGACGGGTATCGATAAATCGGACTTGAATTTTTTCCCTTGCAAGAAGTTATCCAAATTTTGAAAGAAAGCAAGATCCGGGAAGTACGATGGATATATTGGACATTTGAAGCTCTTCTAATTTCGTAACGTTGTCCTGAAGCAGCAGTGGCCTACGGTGATTGACCAGTCTCGGTTGTTTAGCAGCTAGCTTTTACATCATGGTTTGCAATTGCTGACAATACACATCTGCCGTAATATTCTGGCCAGATATAAGAAAGCTGAAGTGAACAACACAGGCACTAGTCCACTAAGTGCTCACAAGTAACTTTTTTTGAGTTTGAATTTTCGCTTGGGGCAGGATTTGGTTAGTTTGCTAGGATTCAGCCATTGCGATGAGTGTTTCCGTTTATCGTACAAGATCCACTTTTCATAACAGGTAATGATCCGATTTAAAATCCCTTCATTATTATGCCGGTTGGCTAATAACGCAGCAGTCTACGCGCGTTTGTCGATTTGCTCCATTCAATTCATGATTTTTTCAAGCTTTTTTCACCTTCCCAATTTGCTTGAAGTGGATTAAAACAGTTTTGTTACTAACACTGCAGCCTGTAGTTAACTCGGACGTGGTTAGCGATGGATCCGCTTCCACATTAGCCTTTAATTCTTCATTATCAACCTTGGACTCTGGCTGCTCACGGGGCTTGTTTTGCAGATCGAAATTTCCAGAACGAAAACATTGGAACCAAAAACGCACTGTGTTTTCTTTTGCGACACCATCGCCATACACATCATTAATTCTTCGAGTCGTTTCTGCACACTGGTGCCACGGCAGAATTCGTACTCTTAAAAAACGTGATATTTTATGTTTTCCATTTTGTAAACTCAGTGACGTAAAGAAAAAACCAAAGATGGAAAAAACATATGGATTACGGTTTTCGAAAAACAAATGCATGAGTAAATAACTGTACAAATTTGAACTTTGAATTCCTGGCGAAAGATGAGATATTTGAGATCAAAGTGGCCAGTATGACAAAACACCAATTTTATATGTAAGGACCTAATATTATAGTACCATCTCTGAGAGGCTGGAGTAACATTTTTATAATCTGGGTTTTTCTTAATGCACTATAAGTATAAACGATGCATTTTAGCACAATTATGCTTTTCATCTAGAATTTATCATTGTTAGATTGCGGAGATAATGCGATTCTTTATGTGGAAACATATTAATTTGATCAATGACATTTTTGGTTTACTTCTTATTTTGATTGGTCTATTAGTATGTTATCGACAACCTTCTCGATTTGGACCACCTACATCGTTAACTGAATCATAAAAAAATCATAATAATACATACATCGAACTCCTACATTTCCTCCTTCTACCATCAACTCCTACATTTTAATAGCGATATTAGTTCTAATATAAGTTAAGGAGTGTCCGGCGCCTTCCTGCAAGATGAACCGAAGATATCACGAAGGTGACCGGGAGTCGATGGAAACAAAAGGCGGAAGATCGCACATGGTGTAAGAAATTGGGAAATAAATAAATAATACTCAACAATTAACAGCGCCTTCTAGTCACACGGTATGAAGAGCTTTATATCAATAAATACTTAGATTTTATATACATACATGAAACATATACATAGAAAACACCCAGACCCACACAAACAATCTTACTCATGAATACAAATATCTGCACCGTCCGAGGAATCGAACCCGCGACCATTGGAAGTAAATCGGTGTGCTTAACCGCTGGACCACCAAAGCCAAATTGGGACAGGCCAACTGTGGATAGACACAAGTTGAAATTATGATGATTAGTACTTTAATAGTTTTCAGAAATCTTAATCTTAATATAATATTCTAAACGTGAAAGTTTGTAAGTATGGATCTTTGTTGCTCTTTCACGCAAAAACTACTGAATAGATTTTTACGAAACTTTACACTAATATAGCTTATGCATCTGAATAACACAGGATATATTTTTTATTGAAATTTAACGCGAGCACAGCTAGTAATTTATAACAAAGTAACGTTTGCGGGACCAGCTAGTATTGTATGTGGACCTATTATGACCAGTGGGAATTAATATTGAATATTATTGCTAGCAATATAAGGTACACTTAGTTCCACGCGGTCCATCCTGGAAACCATCGTTAGTTAATTCCTGTTAGACCTACAATAAGATTCACTGGCAATTGTATATTCGTTTATTCTTTTTATCTATTGTTTTTATATACACTTCTATCAATTCGCTCTTCTATGATAAACGTCTAAAAGCAGATCGATTTTTCTATCATTTATTATTACTATTCCTGGCAAATTCATCTGATCTCCTGCTCCTCCTATCATCCATCATTGGTGCCCGTCAGCTTATACAATTAGCTAAAAATAGTTTATTTTATTACTTAATTTTAATTACATGAACATATTCTTATTTTTTTTTCTTGTAAATACATACTGTATTTAAAATTACCCAACATCAGGTATGAAATGTTACGTGTAATAAAGAAGTAACTACAACTACACTTTACGCATTGTGAAGTTTTGCTGGGGGGAAAGTATGTAACAATAATCACATATAAACTATCAGCTAAAAGTTTCGTAGAAGAAGTAAGTAATTAGAATTACACAATAGTCCTAGATTGTAAGATATAGGAACAAGTATTTAAGTATATTTGCGTTAAACATTTTTTTGTAAATCTTCTTTTAAAATTTACGTAAATACAATTATGACTTTATGAGCGGGATAATTGTAAAGCGAATAAATGCAAATACGCATACCTCTATTTTATGCTGGAATTTTATGTTTTCTAAAGTCGCAAAATTTTAGTATTTTTGCATTTATTCCTTCATTTTTGTCGATAGCTTCATGAGATTTTGACAGAAGGTGTAAACCGTAAAGCTCGCTTTATTTATGTAATAAAACATTTTTGACGCAAGTGTAGTTGCGGCCTTTTTACACGGGATGTGCGAATCAGTGATCGTAGTCGAAAAAACTGCATTTACCGACATTGATTACTTGCTAGCCAGACATGGCTCACAGACCGTGGTTAGTGCAAACTAGTTGAAACATCTAGGTAGATAAATATTTTTATATACCATACAACATTTATGCCAAAACACTACTTTCTATATTAATAATGTACACTACATTGATTAAGATCAAGCGTGTAAATATTTTGAACGCCAATGGCATTATATTAATTAATATGTATAATTAATTTTGTAACATAATTGTTTTCATTCATAATAAGTTTTTTATATTATTTACTTATTTTATACTGGCTGGATATAATACTAGTAGTATTACAAACAAACAAACTTGTTCTTATCTTTCAAATATAGTTTAGTGCAAACACGCTGAATAATATATTAGTTTATACCATCTAGAATAGATACGAGAAGTTAGGGTACCTTACTAGCCATTTAAATTTGCTAATATAAAAACGGAATGTACCTATGATTTTTAATATCACTCAATAATAAAATACGATTATATCTGTTTATATCATTTAAATGATCTTTCCTAAACTCTTTATTTACGGACTA